AATTAGACGTATGGCAATATATGTCTATATATCTTTATAATATATAAATTATTTCTCTAAATATAACTATTTTTTACAATAATTTTATTCATAAGTTTGCCAACCATATGTAACATTTTTAACCTCAACTATAGAACCAAACTCTATATTTCCTTTTTTTCCTGTAAAGTTATAAAACATTGAAATGTTTGCTGTCAAGATTTTTTAAGCAAATTTCCTCAAACAGTCATCACTTTCTCCAACTAGAACTAACCAGTTAAAACAGGCTTTTTTTAAATTAAAGCAACAAAAAGTATCAAAATATTATAGATATCGTCATGTCTAATGAAATAAAATTAGTTTTTAAAAATTCTTTTTTTGACAGTTTTTCTCTAAAAGATGAAGTCCCTATGAGGCTAAGGCAGAAGTCGAATACAGCGAAAGTAAGAGTTTAACGTACGTTTTAAACTCAAACAAGAACAATTTTATAAGAAATAGAATGTTTTGTGCAGCAAGAAGATTTTCTTAAATTAGAAAAAAACAAATTATAACAAGAGTATCAACGAAGTGTTTCTCAATTGAATAAGGAATATGAATATATATAATACTTAACGATAGTCATTTTTTATTGCAAGGTCTTCGCAAATGATGGATGCGTTTTTATAACAGAAGAGAAAATTGAAGATATATATTATAGAAAAAACCAAACTATACATAAAAATTTTAATTATTCAATTATTTTATAACCACAAATAACTTATCAACGATTATATAAGTAAACTTGAAGCAAACACGCGAACAAAAAATCATTCAAAACGGAAAAAAGTATATGGAAAAAAAAACAAAAAAACTTTATATTAAAAAAAATAAATAAAATAGAATAACTTTTTGCAATTTAACTTAATGTTTTTTTAGAGAAGGCCTACTTTATATTTTTAACCTAAATTTGAATATGTTTTTTACAAATCGCAAGTTCAGCTTACTTACTTAACTAGTTTAATAATTAGTTTAAACTTTCTTGGCCTTCTTTCTATTAAAGCTTTCTAAACATAGACCCAAGATCTAGCTACCTTGGTTATTGAGAGAATATAATACATTGAATAACCTTAACTCTGACAACATGGAACACTGACAAGATTTAAAAAGATTGAATGATTTGAAATAAGTGCTGAATTAGAAGTATGGCAATATTTGTCTATATATCTTCATAATATATAAATTATTTCTCTCTATATAACTATTTTTTACAATAATTTTATTCATAAGTTTGCCTACCATTTGTAACATTTTTAACCTCAACTAGAGAACCAAACTCTAACTTTCCTTTTTTTCCTGTAAAGTTATAAAACATTGAAATGTTTGCTGTCAAGATTTTCTAAGCAAATTTCCTTAAACAGTCATCGCTTTCTCTAAGTAGAACTAAACAGTTAATATAGGCTTTTTTCGAATGAAAGCAACAAAAAGTATCAAAATATTATAAATATCGTCATGTCTAATGAAATAAAATTAGTTTCTAATAATTCTTTTATTGACGGTTTTCTCCAAAATATAAAGTCCCTATAAGGCTAAGGCAAACATCGAACACAGCGAAAGTAAAAGAGTTTAACATACGTTTTAAACTCAAACAAGAACAATTTTAAAAGAAATTGAATGTATTGTGCAGCAATATTGCCTGCTGGGTAAAATATATGTATATTATTAGTTATTGATATTAGAGAGTTTGTTTAAATAACTTTAAAAATAAATTAAAAAAACGTAAGAAAAACAAAAGGATTTAAGTTGTTGATTCAATGTGTCAATATAAAAAGTTAAATAATGTAATGCATGTAATGTCTACAACTTTTAATTTTTTTTTTAGTTGTCTCAAAACAAACAAAAGATGACTTATGGTCTAAAATTGCCGACGAAGTTTCTGTTGTTGGTTCTGATAGAACAGTGCAAAAGTGCAAAGAGAAATTATCCGATCAAAAGTCGGATAGTAAGGCAAAAGCAGCTCGTATTTCTTCTATTTATATAAGACAGAAGGAGGTGAAGGCAACAGCGAAGAACTGAGCTCAATTGACCAACAAAATGGCTAAAGTGTTATACATTGTATATTAAAGTGTCATACATTGTATATTAAAGTGTCATACATTGTATATTAAAGTGTCATACATTGTATATTTAAGAGTCATACATTGTATATTGGGACATATATAAAAGTAATGTAGTTAAATAAGTTTCCGAAGACTAGTCGAAACTTAAACTGATGTTTTTTTTTAAACTTCAAATCCTCAACTTTCAAACCTAACTATAATATTTATAAAAAAAAATTGAGACAGTTTTATAAGAATTAAGGTTCGTTATTCTAGGGAATTGCAGGTGGGATTGACACTCATCAAAAGCTGTGCGTAGTAGATCCCGATGAGGAAGTTAATTTTGACATTATAACGGGAAACTTTGTACTGCAACCCGTAGAAAAAATGGATACTCAGTTTATTGAGGTAAAGTAAATTATTTAGTAAAGTATGTTTTTATTATCGTTCGCTAAATGTTTATAACAGCAGTTATAAATATATATTAAGATATATATTTATAACTTTTACTTTAATTTACAGTCAAATAAGTTCACTTTAACTTTTTATTAAAGTAGCTGTATAACGCCATCCTATTATAGATAACAAATATCAAAACTACTTCTGAAATGCGTAAGATAGAGCAATTTAATGAGTATAGTAAAATATGTATTCCTCAACCAGATGAAAAAGAGGATTGCATCAGGGTAAATCATTTTTTATAAAAATCACAAATATAAAAACTCATAAAAAAGTCATTATTTGTATATCTTTATTTTCAGCAATCGTTCTCTTGTTTTGACTTAAATAATAATAATTTTTTTTTAATAACCTTTTGTTTAACAACAATTTACAACGATTAAGTTTTATGTTATCAAAAGGTTTTGTATTGTTCAACAAAAAAATAATATAATCATTCAAAAAATCTAAATTTTTGTAAAGAGAAAAACTCCATTGCGAAACTTCACTGGCTAAATTCTCTCACCTACAGACTACGCCTGATCGCTCGACAACTGAAGTTCGCGTAGCAAGTTCTTCCCCATCTGCTGATCCTGCGTTAATATTACAAAATGAATCTGCCACTGTAAACTCGTTGCAAAAAAATAAGGTATATTTTACAAGATAAGTTTTACGATGTCAAAGATATTAAAAAAAAACAATGTGATATAAAAAAATTACTTTTCTTCTTTAACACATGGGTTTTATTATTATTTTTTCAAGTTTGAAAATGTTTTTAACAAGCAATTACATTATTTTGATTGAAGTTTTCAAACCTCAATAGGCAATTAAGAAAGCTAAGGCACCATTGACAATCCCTTTTTTATATATTGAACTAACTTATAGTTTTTATTATGCCTGCCTATTTTAATTATATCAAACGAAAATTCTTTATTTGTATAAATATTTAAGTCTTTAATTGTTTATTTACTGTTTCTTTTGATATCTTATATTTTAAATAATAAAGGATAACCGATATAAAAAACGGGGAAAAAAAACTATCAGTCGAAAGCTGTCGTTATCAAATGTTGATGGATATACGGATTGATGGACCAAACATCCCGACCTCTAGGTCGGGATGTTAGGTCAGTATTGTCGAATGCTGACTTTAATTTTGAGAACTGTATCTATTATTGCAAGGTTTTAAATTATCTTTAAACAGTTTTAAGGCTGTTAGAATATATTTAGAGTTAGATTATATATATTAGTGACGTAGTAACATTTAGATACTTATTTTAAGTCCAGGATATATACAGGTTTTGTCCACTAACCTATCTTAAAAAAAAAAAAGTCGTTGTTTTCCGACATTTGCCGACTGCCAACTATAAATCCGATTTGCCAACTAATAAAATCGCAGTGGGGCTAGACACCCCCTACGCATCCCCCCTTCGGGGCGGTCTTGTATACATATGTTAATTTATGTTTTAGGAGTGTATATTATTTTAAATATCATTACATATTGATATTTTGCTGCTCGAAAAATCGTCTTTTTCTATCAATGGCTGTCAAATGTATTTACTTCATAAAAGAAGCTATTTTCATAGCCACAAAATTGTAATTTTTTATTTACGAAGTATATTTTTAGACAAAACAATTTTTTTTATTGTATTTTTAGTGATTGATGTCAGTGTTCAAATTGATTTAATTTGTGCGCATATAGAGGAAAATATGCCAAAAAGCTTCCTCCATATAATTTAACATTAAATACTACAAATTAATGCATGATATATTACTATTAAGTGCTTAATACACGGGATGGGATGTTTGTTAATCTTCAAAAATTTTACCATTTTAAATGGTAACACATGCTTATTTAGATCCCCCCCCCCCCCCTCTTTATTAATGTTTACTTTTTATCAACAAAAAAAAACATATCAAAAGTAAAAAAAAAATTAGAAAAAATATATTCCAGTCACTGCTTAGATTTCTTTATTTTAATTAACGATATTAATTTTCAATATAACGACTTAACCCTTTGTTTACCGACAGGACTTATTAGTCCCACTGTAAGTTAGTACCTATATTTTTCAGTGAGAATGTAAATTATTATTATTATTATTATTAATTTAAAGAAATTAAAAGATATACCTTCTACTATCTTGATATAATAAAATATCATTAAAGTCATCGTTCAAAAGCACATATTTTTGTTTACAATATGTCTACTAAAGCTTGCAGTTCTAATAAATTTTTTTCTTGATTTGAAAGTTGTATAATAAATAACCTTAAATATGTTTGTGCATTGGGAATTTTTTTGATTGATGTTTGTTATAGTAAATAAATACTTATGTTGTTTTGATGAGTTTTTATTGCATTTTTATATATTATTTTTGTAAAATTTGTTGTGAGACTTATATGTCCCGTCAGGTGTTATTGACTCAAAATTTACCAAAAAATATTTATCTTACTCTTTAGTTTTTTTATGATTATATGGTATTTACTTAATTTTTTTTTATTAGTTTAATAAATATGTCAAATAAAAAGTTATTTACATCAGAAGAAGCTGCTCGCTACATTATAGAGGAAATCCCTAGTGAATTTAGTAAGGACATTGAGTCAAGTGATTCTGAAAATGAATTTAGATCAGATGCTCTAAAATTACTGAAACCTATCGAAAATGAATCAGAAAGTTCCAACGACTCAGAAAGTAGCATGGAAGACATCAGCATTGACCGAGAGAATTATAATGTTGACGAAGATCGTAAATGGACTAAAAAGACTAAAAACCAAATTGAAACTCCATTTTCATCTTTCAAAGGCCCGGTCAAGGACCATTTTGCTGATTGTCAAAATCCTATTGATTACTTTTTTTCTTATTTTGACAATGAAATAAAACAGAACATAATTCATCAAACCAATCTATATATAACACAAAACATGAAGGCTGTTCTAAATATTTCATTGCAAGAGTTTTTTTCCTTCTTAGGAATCAATATTATAATGGGTTATCATGAATTTCCATCATAGACGAATTATTGTATTTGTGAGTCTGATTTGACAGTACCATGTGCATCAAGTGCTCTTCCAAGAAATCGTTTCGCTCAAATTCTAAGCAATATTCATGTGAATGATAATGCTGCTGAACCAAACGATAATAAAGACAAATTGTACAAACTGAGACCATTGATTAACCAACTAAACTCAAACTTTGTTAAGCTATACAATGTATCTCAATGTATTAGCATAGATGAAAGTATGATTCTCTTTAAGGGTCGGAGCAGTTTAAAACAATATAATCCGATGAAACCTATAAAAAAGGGTGTTAAATTGTGGGCCATTGCTGACATGGATGGATATATGTATCATTGTGAAGTTTATCAAGGGAAAAACAAAATTCACAGTGATGATTTAATGCCTAAGCATTTTGGATTAGGAGCATCAGTCGTGTACCAACTAACAAAGACTTTGCACGCAAAACATCATCAGGTCTATTTTGACAACATTTTTACCACTGTTCTATTAATGGAATACCTATTACAACATAAAGTCTATTGATGTGGAACAATACGTTCAGACGGGAAATACTTGCCAAAAAACTTAAAAAGTGATAAAATGCTTCAAACAGGTGACTTTGACTATCGGGTTTTAGCTGGAGGATTAGTATTTTACAAATGGAAAGATAACAAATCTGTGAACATATTGTCTAATTTTCATAGAACAGAACATGCAACTGTTTTAAGAACACACAAAGATGGAACAAGAAAAGATTTTAATTGCCCTGTTTCCGTAAAAGATTATAATACCTTTAAGGGTGGCGTCGACATGGCAGATCAGTTGATTTCTTCATATGGGTTATCACGGAAATCCTAAAAATGGTGGCATCGGATCTTTTTTGGTTTAATTGAAAGAGCATTATGAAACTCATTTATTGAATTCAATAAAATTACCGGAACCAAAATGAAAAGTCTTTTGTTTCGAAGAATGGTAGCGCATTCTTTAATCACTCGTGGGCGCCCTATAAAAGTAGGGCGGCCATTGTTATCTTCAACCCAGCAGGGCCCATCAAAAAAAGAAAGTCACTGACTTATTCGGTATCCTCAGCTATTAGAAAAGAAAATTTAGGTGTTCATTGGCCAAAATTTGACAGTAGCCGTGGTCGTTGCGAGGTATGTGCACAAGAGAAACAAAAAGCTCGTTCGCATATAAAATGTAGTGCTTGTGAAGTATACTTATGCTTGATTAATAAGAGAAATTGCTTTGCTAAATATCATGAATTGCAATTTATCGCAGAAAAAAGACTCATCTATAATATGAACATTTTGTATCATGATCTAAGAAAATATTTTGTTTCAAAATGTGTTGTTATAATCTAAATTATTCATAATTTGTTTGAACAATTCAATTGTATTTTAATTTGAACTTTCAAAAATGTTGAAACCGGAAATACCCGACGGGACTTATTTGTCCCAAACTTATTTCCATGGCAACAGCAAAATTTTTTAAAAATGTTTTAATGTTTTTCCATTCTTCAAAATAGATGTTGAAATATGTCAATAGTGTCAACAATTTTGAAAGTTACCTTACCTTGGTAAATAAAGGGTTAAATGAGCTTAGTTAAATTGAAAATTTAACCAAAGCAAAAACTTGCGTTAACTAAACAATAAAGTTTCATAACGAAATTACCGTTAGTCGTGAAATTTGTCGCAAAAATAAAATAAACTCTGTAATCAAATAGTGTTACTAAAGTGTGCATAACTTTTTGTAGAATTATTCGTTTTTTATGAAATTTTCACTGTTGTAATACAAATTTAAAGCTCTTTTCTACGATATATAATAATCAAATATAGTAAGAATTTAAAATTTTTACAAACGTGCCTACACTTTTGAAAATTTTAAAACTCTTACGTTATAACATTTGAAATTTTAGATATGTCAAATAAAGATTTCTTTTTTCTCGAATAAACAGTTCTCGTTTGGTAGTAATATAGCTATAAAAAGCCACAATGATAACGATAGTTAATCATGTCAC